TAAATAATAATACGATTTAAATTTAAATAAATCAATGAGGTAAGTAGATGATGCATATGATTGATAATATGACCCATCATGTCTAAGCAGTAAGCATATGGACTTTATAATAATGGTGATATCGATTTTCAACAAATTCGCTCAAATGATAATGTGATTGACTTAATCACAAAAGCATTATTGACATCTTATATTCAAGAAATTGAAATGAGTCGACTTAAATATCTACAATGATCAATATGAGGGAAGTAGTTGTATTTCCATGGCAAGGTTTTAAAAATTAATTACATATTTTTCTATGCTTTTGATATTATTGTCTCACTAATTTTTTGTCGAACATGATATTTGTTGAGATAGTTGCTGTGTAACAGTCAAGAAATGGAAGTATTTTAAACTATGAATAGTTATCTTATCATGATACATTACAATATAGTATCACACATTCTAAAAATATGTATTTTGATAAGTTTGTAACTCTTCTTGGAACCTTAAATGTATCGTGATTCTCTCAATTCCCTTTCTTTATTTCCTTTTTAATATAACAAATTTGACACTTCTTTAAATGATTTCGTTGATTTATATATTATGCTCCAGAAGTAAGGTTCATTATTATTATTATTTTTTGAATAAGAAAGAAAAAAGCATGGAAAAATGTTACTCCCCTGACAAGTTTTGTTGTTTTTTTTAAGGAAATCCATCTAATAACAATATTATAATGTGTAGCAATAGTGAAAAATATTAACACTTTTCGTCCACCACAGAAACAGATTACCAATGAACCAGCTAGCAACGAATGATGTTTCTGTTATTTTTAGAAAGCAAATATTAAAGTATGTATGGATTTTGTTGGTAAAATTTTGTTGCTAATCAGTTATTGAAAAATAAAAAACATAAACTAATTTTCAAAAGACAATTTCGTTGGTAAATGCACCAAAAATTTCCAACAAAATTTACTATTTGTAATTTATGACGGAAGTAGATTTTGAAAAAAAATGTTGCTACTTCATCAA